CCAATACATGTTTTTGTGTGGTGTTTCGATGATTAGTGGAATACGTATACTGTCACCATGATGACACATTTATTTTGTCTGATGAAGGTGAAAGAGTACATATCATACTAGTACTAGTCATCGAAACGTCAGGCATAAACATTCCACTGGTTGTTCTATATAAGCCTGCATACAAGAAAAGCATGAATCCACATACAAAACCAACACAAAACCAGTGCCTAGATTCTTGTAACTGGCCTCGTACTCATAATCTGGTTCTGTGCGCAGGCGCGATATCTTGTACCGGTTATTCAAATTTCAATATAATTTTCAAGAAGTCGAATACAATTTTCAATATTGAGACGTTCATTGGATTCTGTTATTTGTTCTCGTGAACGGCGAGAAAGCTGTTTGTGTACTTACTTCATGCTGCCTGTGCATGATCATGGTTTGCGTCTATGGACCCAGGTGTTCCGGAAGGTTAACGTTTATTGTATCACATGCGACTTTTGTATAAATTAGTACAAAAAATGAAAAGTTGTGCAATACTCTTACAGCAAACCCTCATCATACTGCGATCATTTGTTTAGTCTAAATTGAGTTTTTTGGCTTGTTATAGATGAAACATATACTAAAAACATTATTAGTGGTCCTAACGAGCCTATAGACGGATATTGACGAGGCCCGGACATAATAGGATATCGATAGGCTGGTAATGTACAATGACTTTCCATTCATGGTGAAAGTCGTTGGTTTCTCTCGTCACACTGGTCAAAGTATGGTCAACTTTATGTGTTATATGCTTCTAGGTCTGGTCTTTCTAGCTTTGTGTCATGTTTCATTCTGCAGAGTATTGTCAACTTAATGTATAGTGTTTAACCTGGTATTTTATATAAAATTACATGTGTCATTCTATTGTGTAAAGTCAACTTTTTTAGACGTGTAAATCACATCAGCAGTTTATTTTGTGTTCTTATTCACTCGTAAATATGTATTTTATAATAGCTTATAATTTTATTATAAGATTGATGTCATAGTTCTGTCTAGCATAATGCTAACTTCATTCGAAAGTATACGGGAAATAATCGTTAACTAGCAATGTCTGTAACGTAAATTAATCATTTGAAGTACAAAGGAAAGGGATACTTATTCAAACTATTGATCAGTTATTGCAGAAAGCCAAACAAAATAATTATTTACTGCACCATATGGCCATTCCGTCAGATGTAGTTAAAAAATCATGCGGTAATGATACATGTAACTCATTTTCTACGTACTACCTAGAACTTATTAATAAAAATGAAACACAGCTTTAATTAATTAGTATATACCAATTTGTTTTTGTATTGACATTCAACGTTTGCAACTGGTAAAAACCATTTACCACGAGCTTGTATCGTCCGGATATGACGTCAGATAACAAATATTGATCAGTTCTGGGATGGCCTGAGTTATTAAGTTACCGTTGTGTGTCAGTTAGAACTGTACGCCTATTGGCATTTACGGACGGTACAAGGTGATGTAATATATTTCTGATTAAGATTCAGCATTCTTTCAATGATTGTAACACATTACTAAAACTCTCTTTATGTCGATATGATTATCTGTCCAAGATCTTTAGTGTGCAGTCTAATATAATTATTGACACGAAACAGACCGGAAACAGGCTGTGCTAATTCCAATCTTTAAGAGATTTCTGGTCATTCATGTAGATTAATGATGATTTAATAAAATGATCTCAGATTTGGATTTTGTTTGTGGTCATTGCACAAGGGGCATTTCAGAAATCAAGAACAAAAAACAGCTTCATCCCACTGTATTAAAAGCTGTAACTTCATCAGAGTCGGGTGTTTCTTATGTATCATCTGCTTAGAGGAAGTGAAGAGACACAAACCGATCTACTGCATCAGTTACATTTCATGTGGATGGTACTGCATGTGCTGCACCCATCGTACACATAGAAACAGCAATACTATGGTTGGGTACAGTTAGGTGTATACAAATACTTACTACATGTCAAGCACAGGACAGCATCTGAAACCCGAGTCAGAACACATAGACAACAAGAACTGGGACGACACCAAAATAAAAGGAAAAACAACATGAACCCTTTTTCTAAGAATTTTCTTTAGGTAGGTTAGAATATACTGTTTACATATAATATAGCACAACCAATACATGTTTTTGTGTGGTGTTTCGATGATTAGTGGAATACGTATACTGTCACCATCATGTTTTTGTGTGGTGTTTCGATGATTAGTGGAATACGTATACTGTCACCATCATGTTTTTGTGTGGTGTTTCGATGATTAGTGGAATACGTATACTGTCACCATCATGTTTTTGTGTGGTGTTTCGATGATTAGTGGAATACGTATACTGTCACCATCATGTTTTTGTGTGGTGTTTCGATGATTAGTGGAATACGTATACTGTCACCATCATGTTTTTGTGTGGTGTTTCGATGATTAGTGGAATACGTATACTGTCACCATCATGTTTTTGTGTGGTGTTTCGATGATTAGTGGAATACGTATACTGTCACCATCATGTTTTTGTGTGGTGTTTCGATGATTAGTGGAATACGTATACTGTCACCATCATGACACATTTATTTTGTCTGATGGAGGTGAAAGAGTACATATCATACTAGTACTAGTCATCGAAACGTCAGGCATAAACATTCCACTGGTTGTTCTATATAAGCCTGCATACAAGAAAAGCATGAATCCACATACAAAACCAACACAAAACCAGTGCCTAGATTCTTGTAACTGTCCTCGTGTTATTCTAATTTCAATGTAATTTTCGAGAAGCCAAATACAATTTTCAATATTGAGACGTTCATACTGCGATCATTTGTTTAGTCTAAATTGAGTGTTTTTGCTTTTTATAGATGAAAACGTTTTAGATTTTTGGTGACAATAACGGCTCTTGAAGTATGTAGGCGGTATTTAACGTTTCGTAGAGATCTAGGGCACCCTATGGGGTTTCTCTGTTGCTGGGCTACACTATTCCATATGTCTGGAACTTGATATACATGTTAATCCATTCTAATGTATAGTGGTCATAATGAAACAAGAGCATTTCACGTTTACAAACATTTTCGCTTACGCAAATCTCAGCGATTCTCGTGGACGATCGTTACGTGTGAGAATGAGATACTTATTGCTATTGTACCATAAATCTCGATACAATTGTATACTGCTTCAGTTTCCAATTCATTTTATTGTCTCGGTCGATTTATTGTCACACCCTTTATAACGCCAAAATATGCTAGAAAGTATAACGTGGGTTTACCGTCGACATATTTGTTGAATATATGATTTACTACAAACATGGTGTAGAATATGTACACAGTAGTATGATGTGAACCCTATTGTTTTTATTTGGTTCTTTGGAAAAGATTGAAACTCATATGTATGTCTCTTTACTGCAAGAACCGTAAATAAAACAGAAAAAAATTCATAGGAGAATCATCTATATGGATACGAGATTTTGTTTATCTTTATCTATAGGAACTATTCATCTTACTTTCAATAATGAAAGCTGATAGTAAAATGCAAAAGCCAGCGTATGATTCGTTGGACTGACTTAAGTGCATTTTCAAAGATACAGAGTCATATAAATGTATGGACATTGCGATACAGAGGCTGCTTTGGAGTCCTTGCGTACCTAAGTAGTATTTAGATAGTTAGTTGATAATTCGGTTACATGATCGGGATAAAAAGAAAAATCAGTCCTTTTGCAGGTGAAATGGGCTAATCTCAACCCGAGGGTTGAAATGATTTGGATCTGTTGTGTTATTTTGTTCATTGACAATGAATCAGAAAATCCTAATTGGACCAGATGTGCAAATCTTAAATCAAGGAGTAAGATTATTATATTATCATACCCGAAATTTGCTGAGGAAATCCCACACAGGCGAAATCATGGATATTCCTAGATGTATCCATGTGATGTTGTTCTTTAGGATACTTGTCTGTTCGATAACGTTCATGGGAACATTTCATAGGTAGATCAAGGTAAGTTATTCCGATCATGTTTAGCTGACCAGTGCAGGCTAATTCTAACGGGGAGACACCCGTTGACCACAAACACAGGTAAGAAATAGGACCAAATTGACGCCTTATCTTCAGTATAATTTTTCATTGTTATAAAATGTACAATATAGAAGTTGCAAGCTTTGATAGATATTGATAAAACAAATCTGACCTATGACCTTTGTTGACCTATTTTCTGACCTAAGATACGACTTACATTGTTATAAGATGTGCATACAAAACATATACTACATTGTTGGATAATGGAGATCGGTTTGACATGTGACCTTTGGTAACCTATGTATTGACCTTTAATTGACCTTTGAATTGTTACGTCAAGTATTCATCGATCACGATAAATAAAGAAATCAATCAATCAACACAATTACGACTGTTCTTATTCTCATAACGGATGTCATAATTTGTCAATCCACTGCACAAAACGTTCTTTAATATATATAAGACTCTTAACCATTCATACATACTAATACAACTCAACGAAATTTAAAATCTATCTTCTGTTCCTCATCCATATCAAAAGGTAAGCGCCCGATATCTCTTGGAGATCTTGTTCATACAATTCACTTTACTTTGTAATAGTGTGTTGTTCTATTGTGAAGAAAAAAAATATGAACAATACGTTAATTTCTTTTGAAGGGTATTGTAAGTAATATGATCTTACCAGACCAGAAGCTGTTTATTCAATAACACAAACCACCAATATGAACACATTATATCACAGTGAACAGGATACATGGTTTCCATTAGAAATATCACCTGCTAAGTTTATTGCCAGGTAATTCGGTTCTGTATGGGCTACTTTATGAGTTGTAAAACCTAGCTGGAAGTTTAAAGGTGTATAGCTCAGTAATTGATTGTAGAGGTGGAGATTAGGATTCCAGGCCTAATCCACAGTGCCAGGTAGTACATGTACTACAACAACAATAACATAGCCGTAAGATAAAGCAGACAGTTAAAAGTCAGATTTCTTTATATACCGAAATGTCAGAAGGCTGTACATACGTTTGTTTTTCATTGTGTTGTTATTGAAGGACCGGCCATTCTTTCTTAATATCAACTGACATATTAACATACAAGGATATACAGTAAAAGTACAGATTGTGACCAATTGGATAAACGTTTTAAACTAGTACACATACACGTGGATCATACCGATATAACCACAGACGTACGGTCTGTGATGAAGTATATTGAGACATTATAAATAAGTAGATCTTAAACTAGACGGCAGAATGACAATCTGTAATGAAATGGATAGAAACTTTTTAAATCCGTAAATCAAATATCAGACTCTCATGCAGAAGTCAAAACGTTATCTGTGAGCTCTTGTCAATGTATGATCCAGTATACGACCACTGACTGAGCAGGGAGTGTAAGAGACATCACCATGGAAACTACCACAACGAATTCGAAAAGAGGACCCCGTGATAAGTCAAACTGGGTTCATTTGCCCAGTATTGACATGGGTTACCGTGGTAAACCAAAAGTCGACTCTCTGTCCAACAACAGGTATCAACCTAAACAGAGCTACAAAGAGATACCCTCATTCCCAGTTATCTGGAAAGGTGAACCAAAGGTGAAGTCCATCGACCCTGACCACATAGAGCGCACTAAAAAGAAGCAATCACCATGGAATAATGACCAGCATACTAAGACCATCATCATTCCGAAAAGTCAAGTCAGTAGAATTAAGCAGAACTGGAAAGATGCTCGAGAAAATACTGAGACTGGAAAACTTGAAATTCCAGTTACACCAAAGAAATTTGTTGGGAAACCCAAGGTTGGATCACTTGAGAACGCTGGATATAAACCAGGTGGTGGGAATGTGGAAATTCCTGATGAGAGACCACAGTGGGATTCAAGCTCAAAGGTTGAATCTCTTCTAAATATGCACTATAGGCCAAAAACTGGATATGTTGAAATTACCAATAAAAAGTTCGACTGGAATGTGGAGGCAAAAGTGGGTTCATTTGATAACATTGGTTACATACCAACAAAGAAACCAAAAAAGGCGATAGATTATCCTTTGAAGTGGCAGGCTTTGTCCAAGGTAGGTTCCCTTAATAACAAAAACTACCAACCTGGGGGAGGAAACGTACAACTGCTGACGGAAAACAAGAAATGGAATGCTCAATCAAAAGTGGGTTCCTTTCAGAACAAGGGGTACCAGCCAGGAGGTGGTAATGTTATGTACGACACAGTGCCTCTTGAATGGACTGCTAAGTCAAAGGTTGGATCGCTGGAGAATAAGGACTTTAAATCAAAGGGAGGCAATAAGGTTTACCATACTGAGGAACTGGTGTGGAATGCCACCGCAAAAGTTGGATCTTTTGCTAACAAACATTTTCAACCTGGAGGAGGAAATGTGGCATACAATACAGAGAAACTAGATTGGACCACTGAATCAAAGGTTGGCTCTCTTGAAAATAAGGACTATAAATCAAAGGGAGGCAATAAGGTTTATCATACTGAAGAACTGGCGTGGAATGCCACCTCAAAAGTTGGATCGCTTGTTAACAAACACTTCCAATCTGGAGGAGGCAATGTGGAATACAACACAGAGAATCTAGAGTGGAAAGCTGAAGCAAAAGTAGATTCACTTAAAAACAAAAACCATCAACCTGGAGGCGGAGGTGTGGAGTATCAGATTGAATCCCTAGACTGGAAAGCTTCCCCTAAAGTTGGGTCACTGGGAAACAAGGACTACATGTCTACAGGTGGAAATGCTGAATATGACACGGAGGTGATTGGTTTGGAATCTGAACCTAAAGTTGGGTCTTCAGTAAACAAACAAGACCAGTTGGAAGGTGTTGATGAAGAAATTCAGGCAGAGGAGCTAAACGGGACGTCGGGGCCAAAGGAAGGCCTGCTACTGAACGAAAACCACCAGGCAAGCTCGGGAAATTCCAAAGAAGAATATGAAAAAATACCACGGAACAATGTTTCAGAAGGTGAATCTTTGGAAACTTACATAAGTCCAGAACCTAAGTACAGGAGAGTGAACTCTCAGAGTGGTGGTGTACAAATTTCATCCAATGAGGAATCGTCCAAACCTTTGACAGAAAACCAGGAGAGGAACCATTAGGCCAGTGTTAACCAGACCACCACACTGGTCAGTCAACATGGACAGGGGACCCAGAGTTCAGACGTTGTGTTCACTCATACAGAGACCGGTAATTAATGTAATCACTTGTCTTGTTTCGGAGAGTAAGTGAAACTAAGGTGTGACTTTTTGGCGGCGTCAAACATTCTCATTTAACTTCACGTTCATAGGCTACTTCGAATTCTCACACAATGTGAAGGTGGTTGGGCATTCATACTCGGATCATAGTCACACTGCATCACATTATATACTGCGGATGCTTAGTGTGGCTTCTATTTCATGGTTCATTGACTTGCTGATGATGAGTTTTCACATTATCTGTGCTTCAAGTGATTTCAAAAACTCGAATTTTGAATGCCTGACTTTTTTCTTGATTTGGTCGTTCTACGGATTGTTTAAGGTAAATAATGCCTCAATGTATGTACATTTGTTTCATAGCATTCCTATTAACCTTACAATAACCATATAATTAATCAAATTCTCTGTTGAAAATGTAAATATGTTAATGGCCTCCACGCTGGTGTAAATTAAGCCTAATGTAAGTGAGTTTAGTATCACCTCGATATATATATATATATGAAAACAAAAGACAAGAGTTTCTTCGACTTTCCTAGCGCTTTCTCCTCTTTAGAGATTCACCAGAGGAACTATATATATATATAACACCTTCATTATATCTTTATTTCCTTATCCATATCTTTGTGCAGTACTCAAATACATTGATTTAATTCACAATTTGGACTTAGTGCAATTTTACTTGTCATTAATTTAACCATTTACAATTTTCTATATATCTTTAAGTCAGCATTCCTCTTAAACACCTGTGCTGATGACCTTACTATAAACCAAACACAGAGTATACCTCTATGTTTGCCTGTGATTCTGTGAAAAAAAATGAAATTGGAATCTATAATATGTCTATTCATTGTTAATTTGCAGTTGTATCTCTTAACATATTTATTTAAACTCACTATTTACTTATCTTTTTAACTTCAACTCAATATTCCTTCTGTATACTTATTCATGTGTTGACAAACCTGCAATAAACTAAACATAGTGTATGTCGGTATGTTTGCTTATAATTATGTCAAGAAAGTATTTTGAATCCATTTTATCTAGGTTATACACGATATAATGTAAATAATTCAAAAGATCGGATTTGACGATAGAAGGCCTCCCCCGGGCATATAGTGACAATTAGTATACAATAAAAATGTTTTGATTCCGTTTTAGTTCAGAAACATATATTTAACACTAGGTACGTCCAGGTAAAATCTGATCGACACACCTGAGATAATCCTGAAAGTTTACCTGTGTAAAAGTGTATAGAAATACTTCGTATAGGTACAAAATATCATGTAAACGTATATACACTGTATGGGTAGGTAACGCCCCAGGGTATGTATGGCCGACACCAGGTATACTCAATCAGGTAAAAAAAACTACTGTAACGTGCCAAGAGATCGTTAGATAACTAATAAGGTCTATATTAGCCCCATGAGACCAGGTAAGGTGATTATAACGACATAAACATTCAGTAAGGCACAATGTACTACCTACACAACATATTGTTTATTTGCTGCAAGTATTCATTTTGTAATCATAGGTAAACATATATCAACATATACTTTATTAGTTTTCTTTTGATAGAACTGTCTTTATCATAAGCTGACTTTCACGAACGATTTTAGTTCATTATACCGATAATTAAGAATTTTGAGTAAATAGTAACCCATTGTGTAACGTTAAGCTGACAGATCTTAAGAAGTTTGTAAACTAATGTGAATTGTACTTACTAGATGATTAAAATGTGTGTAAATACATGTATTACCATCCCAAAAAGACCAGGAACAAAAGAGCACTTCACACAGCAATTATTTAGTGACTCCACTGGATTAGTATGTAAGTAAGGAAAGTGGCCCTGGGTTTAAAACTTATACATGTATAAGATATAATATGGCTTAAATATCTTTCTTTTCGCCTTAAGTACATGTAATTGTGAGTCGTAAATTTACGGTTCAGTAAAATGTCAGAGGGGGAAATAAAGGTTGTTCAGAAACGAAAAATGGATTTTAATCAAATTTGGCTGGTAGCATACTTTGACCAAGGGTTTCATTATTGGTATGCTTGAGGACGTCCCCGTCCTCGGGGAAAAGGGGGTGACGCCAGATAGGGGAGTAAAAGTATACAATTGAAAATCGTGCCCTTACAGAACGGTTGATGGGACTTTAACCTTATCCTGTTTAGAGCATCCTTAGACAAAGGAATTAAATTTTATGTAACTTGAGGGTGAAGCCGTCACATTTGAGAAGAGGAGGAAGGACCCATTAGAGAAAATAAAAGTGAATCTATGAAATCTTACTCTTTCGTTACGGCACCAAGGATTAAGATAAAATTTGATATTGATCATCTTTGTCCCAATAGGACTAAGAGTGATACATGTATCACCATCTAGAGTTTATTTTTGTCCTTGGTTTATTGACTAAGTGGTACATTTTGCCGTTGCATGTTGACACTGTGATATATTTTGCCGTTGCGTGTTGACACGTTGGTACATTTTGACGTTGAGTGTTGACACTGCGATAATTTTGTCGTTGCGTGTTGACACTGTGATACGTGATACATTTTGTCAATGCGTGTTGACACTGTGTTACATTTTTTCCTTGCGTGTTGACACCGTTACACTTTTATTACGCTGTGTGTTGTCGCTGTGATTCATTTTGTCTTTGTGTGTTGTCACTGTGATTCATTTTGTCTTTGTTTTTTGTCACTGTGTTACATTTTTTCCTTGCGTGTTGACACCGTTACACTTTTATTTCGCTGTGTGTTGTCGGTGTGATTCATTTTGTCGTTGTGTGTTGTCACTGAGATTCATTTTGTCTTTGTGTGTTGTCGCTGTGATTCATTTTGTCTTTGTGTGTTGTCACTGTGTTACATTTTGTCTTTGCTTTTTTGTCTTCGTGTGTTGTCACTGTGATACATTTTGACGTTGTTTGTTGTCACTGTGTTACAATTTTGTCTTTTTGTGTTGTCACTGTGATTCATTTTGTCTTTTTGTGTTGTCACTGTGGCACATTTTGTCTTTGTTTTTTGTCACTGTGATTCATTTTGTCTTTGTGTGTTGTCACAGTGATACATTTTGACTTTGTTTGTTGTCACTGATTCATTTTGTCTTTTTGTGTTGTCACTGTGTTACAATTTTGTCTTTTTGTGTTGTCACTGTGGCACATTTTGTCTTTGTTTTTTGTCACTGTGATTCATTTTGTCTTTGTGTGTTGTCACAGTGATACATTTTGAATTTGTTTGTTGTCACTGTGTTACATTTTGTCTTTGTTTTTTGTCACAGTGATTCATTTTGTCTTTGTGTGTTGTCACTGTGTTATATTTGGTCTTTGTTTGTTGTCACTTTGGAACATGTTGTCGTTGTTTGTTGTCACTTTGGAACATGTTGTCGTTGTTTGTTGTCACTTTGGAACATGTTCTCGTTGTTTGTTGGCACTCTAGAATATGCTGTCCTTGCGTTTTGTAAAAGTCATACTATCACAAAAATCTGCATTAATTCAATTACAAACAGTCTAAAGAATTGACATTCTTTTATGAAGTAAATAAGAAAATAGCAATCGAGTATCGTGTTTCTACTTGTTTAATTTCTAATCGTAATGACCCATATTTCAATTCTTGACAGACTAGCGTACATGTCATGAATATCAAATTTAACCCACATGTCACGTTAATATTGATTTCGAAGTCATGCCAACAGCCATGTCTACGCTTAAATGATATAGTATAGGTGATTGGCTCATTCGTAATACATTAAGGGGATGGGGTAGAGGTCGGCTGCTGGTAGGGTTGATAGGGGGGGGGGGGGGGGGGGTTGGGGGGGGGGGGGGGGGGCGTTTAGTTTTTTTATTCATTTTCTTATTATTTGTCATAAATTTTACCTCAATGACAAACTATCAGACAAACTATGATACAAACTTGGTTCCATTCCGTGATAAGAACAAATATAATTCATTTAACATAGTCAACACAACGGGACTATATTTCCAACCCAGACGTCATTTGGTGGACTTGCATGGCGTCATAGCGCGTGTAGGCTGTATTTCCCGAGGAAAAGACAGGTCTACATTAAGAGATTCTACAAGATTTCATTGATGATTTATGTTAGGTACTAACACTGTCCATCACAAATTGGTATAGGGGACAAAGACATCTTACCTGTAGGTATGTAAATGTTTCCTTAAAGTGCGAACAGTTTCATGGTTCAGAGAAATTCATTTTTGGCACACTGCATCTATTAATTTGTGTGTGTCAGTCGGTCATCTTACATATCACCAAAATCTCATATATTGATTTTTCTCCCTATCCCTACTTTGGACTTTGCTAAAAGTCGACATTGTCAAAAATTATCTAAAACAAGTTTGGAAAGAGCAAAAACGTATACTTTATCGAAGAAATTTAAACATTAAGTAGTCTGTACAGCTAACCTGTTAAATGAGTATTTATTTCCGTTAGGAGATGGCAGTCGCAGACTGTGTCTTGGAGAAAGACCTGCTACTACCGATCTGAATGACACTTCAATGAGGTCACATTTCAGAATATCAGCCGACACGAGACCTAACATTTTTAATTAAGGTTTTAGCACTTTCCTGTCAAAATTTCGAATTTGGTGTTTCCTGAACTAGATGTTTCTTAGTGCGGTCAGGTACGGATTGCTTCCGCTAAACAGACAAGTTGTTGTTCCTGCTTCCTTCCTTAGCATTTCTACATGTAACGGGTACATGTATGTCTTTAGTAAGGCCCCTTGGTTATGTGTCTACATGTAACGGGTATGTCTTTAGTAAGGCCCCTTGGTTATGTGTCTACATGTAACGGGTATGTCTTTAGTAAGGCCCCTTGGTTATGTGTCTACATGTAACGGGTATGTCTTTAGTAAGGCCCCTTGGTTATGTGTCTACATGTAACGGGTATGTCTTTAGTAAGGCCCCTTGGTTATGTGTCTACATGTAACGGGTATGTCTTTAGTAAGGCCCCTTGGTTATGTGTCTACATGTAACGGGTATGTCTTTAGTAAGGCCCCTTGGTTATGTGTCTACATGTAACGGGTATGTCTTTAGTAAGGCCCCTTGGTTATGTGTCTACATGTAACGGGTATGTCTTTAGTAAGGCCCCTTGGTTATGTGTCTACATGTAACGGGTATGTCTTTAGTAAGGCCCCTTGGTTATGTGTCTACATGTAACGGGTATGTCTTTAGTAAGGCCCCTTGGTTATGTGTCTACATGTAACGGGTATGTCTTTAGTAAGGTCCCTTGGTTATGTGTCTACATGTAACGGGTATGTCTTTAGTAAGGTCCCTTGGTTATGTGTCTACATGTAACGGGTATGTCTTTAGTAAGGCCCCTTGGTTATGTGTCTACATGTAACGTGTATGTCTTTAGTAAGGCCCCTTGGTATGTGTCTACATGTAACGGGTATGTCTTTAGTAAGGCCCCTTTTTATGTGGCGGTATTACCACTGATCAGGCCTATAATGAGACATTGTCATTGTTATCTTGGTTACAGATGTGCGCACTTGTAGACATTTTCGATTCATTGCAACTCACCATTTGTTGCTCTGTCGGCACGTGATCAACCTTTCAAAGAGGAAGGTAGTGCAATATTGACTTGTGTATTTGTTATATAAAGAGATTTCCTCACTTTCTCAGCTGATGCTGTGGATATAATGCAATGACCAAAGAGTTTTTAAGGCAGTTTATGTATTCCTTTCACACACTAAAGGAGTGTTAAATAAATATTCTATATATAAAAATGTACCTCATAATTCTCAGCAGGTAATGTCTATTTCAATACGATTCTTTTTAAGCTATAGTGTGGTCCTAAATTTCCTTCAGCGATTAATGTTTGATCTATATGTGTTGTTTAATCAGAAATAGAAACATGTCACACATGTTTAGAAACAGTTTCTGTTATATCAATATTTATGTATCTAAATAGATGCATACACGTTTACCTTTTGTCAACTAGATGCACTGCATACCGAAGTGTTAGCTGTTACGCGATAATATAAGATGGTTATCAGATGTTATTTGGTGTTGCCGATATGTAAATTGAATCAATATTGATGTACTTAGGACGTAAGGTGTCTCTATGAAAACGAATTGTTGGCGTGTTAAAATATGTATTATTTATATTATGATTTGAACTTTTTTAACACTGTGCCGAATTCATGTCGAATACTGATGCGGTTATTCAGAAGATACAGGTAAATGTATGTATAAATATAGCTTACAGAACAAAGGTCAAAAGGATATGATACAAGTTAAACGATCGCATCATAAAGTGAGAACAGTTTTTACACCGTGCCGAATTTTTATCAAATAATGATGCAGGTATTGATAACTAGATAGATACATTGTATATAACCGGATAATGACCAAAGCTGAAGTTTTTTTAATAGATTTCACATTCAACGTAAAAGCATCGATTGCATCAGATAGTAAGAACACCTCTGAGAAGGTTTTTCTGATAACTTGAAGATATAATGTAAATGCGTCGATTACATCAGATAGCATTTTTAGTTACCCTGTGATTGTCGACCAGATATTGTTACCCCATCGGGTTACAAATGAAATTGCTCACCCATTATCGTAACAGAAAAGCTTAAATCGTATCAAATGTACACAAGAGAAGCTTCACATACTGTTTAACCCTCTATAACGCTATGATACACTTTATATATTTGTGTTTTTCCTATTTCATGTTATTTGGCATGTCATGAAAGTCTGTTGCCGTGACCTTTTATAAAGAAACGATGTACACATGTATCTTGATATTTGCATAAAGATGACAATGCTTTGAATGTATATCAATTGTTTATTAGTTGATATAAACAATGTTTTTTTTGGATTTTGTATTTCGACAAGGTTAAAGCTTAAATAAATAATCATATTCCTTTAAAAAAAGGAGATAAGTCTTAATAGATTCAATCCAAGTATTGAATGAAAGTTGAAATCTTTGTATTCCACATCACTTCTGTGAGGCGTTAATTAATGCCAATTACATAATGTAATATTGATATTGTTTATCGTTAATGTGGAGTGCACTGTATAAATACTCACCGGATCGTGTCAAGCACACTTACATGTCATTGTGGTATATTTGTCAATAGGTAGGAAATGTTTCCTGTTTGGGATAGGTCCATAACTATCTGCTTGGCAACTGGATAAAATTTGTGGTCATATTTGAATCAAATTACAATAACTGAACACTTAACGTAAGTCGTTTGTTTGTTACTAGGAAAGTTGTTACAGTATTCTATCGGTTAACCTCTCGATTGTACAACTTATCAAAGCTGGGAAACGTAATACAAGGCGGTGAAGTAGACGGACCTGTATTTCAATAATGAACAAAGACATGTTGCTTGAGATGTCGTAAACTACAATGGCATGAACTACGACGATATCTTCCACTGTTGGAGATATAAATGTACAATTCCATTAAGTGTAACATGAGCATACAGCCGTAAAAATGGAAACTATAAATAAACCATGTCTATGGTAGGGTAACCATCTTCCCTGCCAGGATCAAATATCAGTGATCCACTTTTACTTCCGGGTACATGACATGGAACTGTGTGCATGAAAGAAAATAAATGAAATATACATCAGTACTCAATTGAAGTAATACATATAGATATCATCTACTATTCAGATAAACCTATTACGATCAGTATCTTACTCACTCCAAATATTGCAAAAAACACCATTGTCCACCTTGGCTAAAAAAGGACTTCGTTCATCAACTAACTTCAATCATGTCGCTGACGACTAGCGGGCACGAGCGATTTGTTGGAAGCTGTTATAAATGGGAAGATACACTGAGTAAATGTAGTGCGGAGTATATATGTATTATTCATTGTCAGCAGTTAGAGTATGTCTCCTGGGATTAGATTCGCCCCAGCCAGCCTACAGCAGGGTGACACATCGGCCCGGATACATACAGGGAGAGGAGCATGATAGATCGATAGGTAGAATTAATAAACAGTGCTCTGTTATGAGGCAGGGATCACCTTGATGTCTGCTGCCGTCTTACATCGTACTACCGAGGCGGACGCTGATGGGTTAAATGTCACTCCAAGGTAAGACCTGGTCTAAAAACGAAACATCTATCATTCTACTTCATTATGCGTTTCATTTATTGATATTTTATCTACGTAACACGTTGAAGACATACAACATGCTATCGTCCACAACTATATTTAATATTTTTGAAGACGTATTGTGCATGTATATTATACATGTACTTATGTATACATATATGTTATGGTTTGGTTTCATATAATTAGTCATAAGCTATAAGCTATTGTTGAAATGTGTTCGTATGTTATATAGAATTAATCAATATGCTTGTTCTGTGCTATAACACCCTACTTATCGACATTCATATACAGACATACACTAATGGAGACAAGCAGGGATGCTCACATAGTTATAAAGTTATTGATAATGATTTTAACACACAAGTTTAAATTCTTGTTGAAGTTTTTTCTTCGGTCGCTCCACTGCGCCAACCGACAACCCTTTACATATTTAGAGTAGCCTTATTTAAGCCACCTTTTCACGTGATAGTACATACAGATTGTGAGGTTATACCTGTGAGTGCTCGAGATTGTATAGCCATCTGATTGTTATGGGTCCGTATTTCAATCAGCTAATTTCAATGCCATACAAATTGAATTTCAGTGCGGAGAAATAATATTCAACACACAGATTCTATTGTACTCTTCTATTGGGACTAGGTGAGCAACAAAGGTAAGGTGTCTTAAGGATACGCGTAGATTACGCTTTCCGCGGGTCCACCCCTCCGACCCTGCAGATCATAGTCTACTGTTACTAAATGGGGTTTGTGCTACAAAGGAGTCATGCTATGAAATAATAACGAAAATGTGGATACAGTAGCACAAGCCGATATTTTGTCCATTCCCTACAAAACTACAATCATTACATTGTACTTCAATTTTGCAATCTTATCATTACTTGAAAAGAATGCGCTCATGTCAGAAAATAAAAATGTCCTCCAACTTTAATATTCAAATCATTATTAACATGTAAATATGCAAAAGTGTGAGTCTCATCAGCAATATATGTATAGGATGTTTTGATATCTTTGTTACATGGTTGATGCGGTTATTGGCCTCGTGATGTTATACACATACTTTTGGTGATATGGGTATTAGCCTCATGATGTTATACACATACTTTTGGTGATATGGTTATTGGCCTCGTGATGTTATACACATACTTTTGGTGATATGGGTATTGGCCTCATGATGTTATAAACAAATGTTGATACGGGTATTGGCCTCATGATGTTATAAACAGATGCTGAGACGAGTATTGGCCTCATGATGTTATAAACAGATGTTGAGACGAGTATTGGCCTCATGATGTTATAAACAGATGTTGATACGGGTATTGGCCTCGTGAGGTTATAAACAAATGTTGATACGGGTATTGACCTCATGATGTTATAAACAAATGTTGATACGGGTATTGGCCTCATGATGTTATAAACAAATGTTGATACGGTTATTGGCCTGATGATGTAATAAACAAATGTTGATACGGGTATTGGCCTCATGATGTTATAAAGAGATGTTGATACGGGTATTGGCCTCATGATGTTATAAAGAGATGTTGATAGGGGTATTGGCCTCATGATGTTATAAACAGATGTTGGTACGGGTATTGATCTCATTATGTCATAAACAGATGTTGATACGGTTATTGGCCTCATGATGTTATAAATCGATGTTGAAACGGGTATTGGCCTCGTGATGTTATAAATAGATGTTGATATGGGTATTGGCCTCATGATGCTATAAACAGATGTTGAGACGGGTATTGACCTCGTGATGTCATAAATAGATGTTGATACGGTTATTGGCCTCATGATGTTATCAACAGATGTTGATACGGTTATTAGCCTCATGATGTTATAAATAGATGTTGATACGATTATTGGCCTCGTGATGTCATAAACAGATGTTGATACGGTTATTAGCCTCATGATGTTATAAACAGATGTTGATACGGGTATTGGCCTGATGATGTTATGAACAGATGTTGGTACGGGTATTGGCCTCATGATGTTATAAACAGATGTTGATACGGTTATTAGCCTCATGATGTTATAAACAGATGTTGATACGGGTATTGGCATCGTGATGTCATAAACAGATGTTGATACGGTTATTGGCCTGATGATGTTATAAACAAATGTTGATACGTTCATCGGCCTCATGATGTTATAAATAGATGTTGATACGGGTATTGGCCTCATGATGTTAGAAACAAATGTTGATACGTTCATTGGCCTCATGATGTTATAAACGGATGTTGATACGGTTATTGGCCTCATGATGTTATAAATAGATGTTGAGACGGGTATTGGCCTCATGATGTTATAAACAAATGCTGATACGTTCATCGGCCTCATGATGTTATAAATAGATGTTGATACGGGTATTGGCCTCATGATGTTATAAACAAATGTTGATACGTTCATTGGCCTCATGATGTTATAATCAGATATTGATTCGTGTATTGGCCTCATGATGTTATAAACAGATGTTGATACGGTTATTGGCCTCATGATGTTATAAATAGATGTTGATACGGTTATTGGCCTCATGATGTTATAAACAGATATTGATTCGGGTATTGGCCTCCTGATGTTATAAATAGATGTTGATACGGGTATTGGCCTCATGATGTTATAAATAGATGTTGATACGGGTATTGGCCTCGTTATGTCAAAAATAGATGTTGATATGGGTATTGGCCTCATGATGTTATAAACAGATGTTGATACTGTTATTGGCCTCATGATGTTATAAAGAGATGTTGATACGGTTATTGGCCTCATGATGTTATAAATAGATGTTTATACGGTTATTAACCCCATGATGTTATAAACAGATGTTGATTCAGGTATTGGCCTCGTGATGTCAAAAATAGATGTTGATATGGGTATTGGCCTCGTGATGTCAAAAAAAGATGTTGATATGGGTATTGGCCTCATGATGTTATAAACAGATGTTGATACGGGCATTGGCGTCATGATGTTATAAATAGATGTTGATACTGTTATTGGCCTCATGATGTTATAAAGAGATGTTGATACGGTTATTGGCCTCATGATGTTATAAATAGATGTTCATACGGTTATTAACCTCATGATGTTATAAACAGATGTTGATTCAGGTATTGGCCTCGTGATGTCATACATAGATGTTGATAAGGGTATTGGCCTCGTGATATCATAAATAGATGTTGATACGGTTATTGGCCTCATGATGTTATAAATAGATGTTTATACGGTTATTAACCCCATGATGTTATAAACAGATGTTGATTCAGGTATTGGCCTCGTGATGGGTATTGGCCTCATGATGTTATAAAGAGATGTTGATACGGTTATTGGCCTCATGATGTTATAAACAGATGTTGAGACGGGTATTGGCCTCATGATGTTATAAATAGATGTTGATACGGTTATTGGTCTCGTGATGTCATAAATAGATGTTGATACGGGTATTGGCCTCATGATGTTATAAACAGATGTTGATGCGGTTATTGGCCTCATGATGTTATAAACAGATGTTGGTACGGGAATTGGCCTCATTATGTCATAACCAGATGTTGATACGGATATTGCCTCATGATGTTATAAACAGATGTTGATACGGGTATTGGGCTCATGATGTTATAAACAGATGTTGATACGGGAATTGGCCTCGTGATGTCATAAACAGATGTTGAAACGGGTATTGGCCTCATGATGTTATAAACAGATGTTGATACGGGTATTGGCCTCACGATGCTGCAAACAGATGTTTCACTTATGGTAAGTATGTTTTTATATCGTTTATTACAGTCGATACATTTTATACTATATATTCTGTATATTGCACTTATATTTTTCTCACTAAATCGGCAAGAATGTTTGTTTTTGATTTAATGTTTACTTACAAGGTGCCATTGGTGTACCTTTGCGTTTTGTTGTCACAAACCCGGTTTGAACCAAGGTTTACTCACCAAGTGTCATTGATGTAACTTTACGTTTTTCTGTTACTTACCTGGTTTTACCCAAGGTTTACTTACCAAGTGTCATTGATTTGCGTTGCGTTTTATTGTTACAAACCCGGTATAGACCCAAGGTTTTACAATGTGTCATTGATCTACCTTTGCGTTTTGTTGTCACTAACCCAGTTTTACCCAAGATTTACTAACCAAGTGTTATTTATGTACCTTTGTGTTTTGTTGTCCCAAACCCGGTTTGACCCAATTTACTTACCAGGTGTCATTGATGTACACCTTTGCGTTTTGTTTTCACTAATCCAGTTTGACCCAAGGTTAACATACAAAATGTCATTGATGTACCTTTGCGTTTTGTTGTCACTAATCCAGTTTGACTCAAGGTTAACTTACAAACGTCATTGATGTACCTTTGCGTTTTGTTGTCACAAACCCGGTTTGACCCAAATTACTTACCAGGTGCCATTGGTGTACCTTTGCGTTTTGTTGTCACAAACCCGGTTTGAACCAAGATTTACTAACCAAGTGTCATTGATGTACCTTTACGTTTTGTTGTCACTAACCCGGTTTAGACCCAAGGTTTACTTACAATGTGTCATTGCTGTACCTTTACGTTTTGTTGTCACTAACCCGGTTTTGACCCAAATTTTAACTTGAATGAATTTGCCTTTGTGATTTGTTGTCACAAACCGAGTTTAGACCCAAGGTGTACTTCTGTACTCTGTAATAACAGTAATAGGCAATAATTACACAGCATATTCAGATAATTTGCAAATTAAATATACATCACATTATGTTGAAACAATTATAAAAGAACATAAAACAAAAGGGTGTCCAAGCTTCAATATAGGTACATACTTTATTACAGGTACATACTTTATTACAGGTACATACTTTATAACAGGTACATACTTTATTACAGGTACATACTTTATTACAGGTACATACTGTATTACAGGTACATACTTTAATACAATACAGGTACATACTTTATTACAGGTACATATTATATTATAGGTACATACTTTAATACAGGTACATACTTTAATACAGGTACATACTTTGTTACAGGTACATACTTTATTACAGGTACATACTTTATTATGGGTAAATACTTTATTACAGGTACATCCTTTATTACAGGAACATACATGTACTTAAATAAGTTACATACTTTAATGCAATACAGGTACATACTTTAATACAGGTACATACTTTATTACAGGTACATACTTTATTACAGGTACAAACTTTATTACAGGTACATACTTTATTATAGGTACATACTTTAATACAGGTACATACTTTAATACAGGTACATACTTTGTTACAGGTACATACTTTATTACAGGTACATACTTTATTATGGGTAAATACTTTATTACAGGTACATCCTTTATTACAGGAACATACATGTACTTAAATAAGTTACATACTTTAATGCAATACAGGTACATACTTTAATACAGGTACATACTTTATTACAGGTACATACTTTATTACAGGTAATACTTTATTATAGGTACATACTTTAATACAGGTACATACTTTATTATAGGTACATACTTTATTACAGGAACATACTTTATCATAGGTACATACTTTAATACAGGTACATACTTTAATACAGGTACATACTTTATTACAAGTACATACTTTATTACAGGTACATACTTTAATACAGGTACATACTTTGTTACAGGTACATACTTTATTATAGGTACATACTTTATTATAGGTACATACTTTAATACAGGTACACACTTTATTATAGGTACATACTTTATTACAGGAACATACTTTATCACAGGTACATACTTTATTACAGGTACATACTTTATTACAATTTGGACAAGATAACCCGTCCATTTACTTATTAAGAACGCTCATATTTTGACACTCAAAATGAGACATTTTCGGATCAGCATGAATTTCATAGATTATTACGTCACAAATGAATGATATCACTGACATTTAAAATGCATTCTCTAATTGACGCCATTTTTACCTGATGTTGAAGAACATGGTATGTTGTAATTAGCTACTAACAAAGGTATTTTACCGAACGTTTGTAAAGTTGCACGGTACACTGATTTTGATATAAAGATTGTAACTGACGTCACTAGCTCACTACAATGTATGAGATCAGTGAAAAACGTAGGATGCCCGGATGGCCCGTAAATAACTAATAATAATTTGACACCATATACGTATACACAATAATAAATACGATACCAAGAACATTATAAGTTATCTCTGGGTTAGGAGGGGTCTACGGGCTCATAGACCCCGCCTGTTTTTTATAGACCCCGAGCCGAAGGCGAGGAGCCAAAAAAACCTTAAGGGGTCTATGAGCCCGTAGACACCTCCTAACCCAGAGATAACGAATGTGTCACCCTGACAATCGTTTATTACTCTTTTTCTTCATAGTTATAAGTCACTTCGTGAGTTTGAGTTGTACTTGACTGCTACCAAAATAGCCCCTACCGGACACTTTTTCGGCAATATTTCTGAGAATACACAACCATCTTTGTAATAGCATTGCCTGTTTCGTTTGCTGTCAATTTAATAGGCTAACTCATACTGTGAATGATTGGCACACTTTGAACGCTTGTGTGTGTGTCGGACGCCATCTTTGTTGCTATGAAGAGAGATTCTAGTTTGAGTTATCTCCCCTCGCACGTGCTTTTATAGACCCCGGCAGAGCGGGGTCTATAGAAATATAGACCCCGGCAAGATATCCAATCAGAAAGAGTGTTACAAATTAGAAGGGTGACAAATATATATACAAGGATTGCTTAACATTTTAACGAGTCAATTATTTACATCAGAATGTGAATTCACTTGTAATGTTTGTACGTCGTACCTAATTGGTATTTACATGTTTGCTTCGAATACATAATTACCGTGAGATATATCGACTGCTGATCGACAAACTTAAGACACACGATTTTGAGAGATGCAGATTTATTGGGATTCTCACATGATCTCATCTCTCGAACGATAAGGGTGCATGTTTTGATCTGTTTATTAGTGAGTATTTCGTTTCGCTATCACTTCCACTTTTATTTATTTGAAGACGTCACATGACGGGTTTGTTGATGAAGCTGAGAAACAATGACTCTTTCAGGACATCTGGTCCGATACTTCTTGGACAGTTTAAAGGATTTCTGCGTAAATAAAACGTTTCCTTAAGTTTTGAGCTTCAATTAGTTTTAAAACTATTGTTTGGACATGGATTTTATTGTGTTGATTCAGCTTGTGAGTACATGTAATCATATGTTTATCCTCTTACAGAAAAAAAGATTCTCTGACCTCTGAAATTGCTGAAGGTCAAAGGTCACAAAAAATCGTTATACATATACTGTATTGAAAATGAATACCTGTAAAAATTATCGGCGACACGTATGTCCTTGCGAACTATGCTCATACTTAAATGGATTCAACCAAATATTATTCCGGTAGCATAATCCATTCAAGGCTACATGAAAGACTTTCTAATATAGCATTAGGTATAGATAACGTATGTGAACATTAATCTACCCTTACGGGCGAATTGTCATACATCAAAATATACAGAGATACGTATCGCGATTTGCTTTCCTTATTGTTAAATTCAAAAGCAGCCACATGTCACATTCTGTACATCCATGGTCACGTTAGTGTGAAGGTCATACAAGACTGGCTATAGAGTACTCAAATATCTAGTTTTGTTCTTCCTACAGTGTAGTGACGTAGTCCGTGCATGCGGATACTATATGCCAGGGGAGGATTAAGGCCACTTCTGGACATTAAACCGGCGTGTGTTACTAGTAAGTATACATTACATTACGTGAGGTTATAACTGATTTTGTGAATGTTTTGTTGATTTTTACCGTCAACCCCCTTAACCGTCTTATATAAAGAACCGTTGGTACTTCCGAAGGGTTCTCTCCAAATGCTTTATACATATGTATTTTATTTCATTTTACTTACAAATATACAACTCTTATATGACAAGGACAAGCAATGCGTTTACGTAGGCTACCTGCAAATGAACAACATATATACAAGTTTATGGTAAGATCTTATTTGGATATTCGGCACAAATCGAACAAAATCCCCCTGCACAGCGGTTTTAAATGCTGAGATCAAGACTTTAGCTTTTCTGAGCAAAATTCTTGAGGTCCTAGCCGGCAGAGGATATATTTGATTTCTTAAAAGTACGTTTTCTTTCATCTACATACTGCTTCAATCGTTTCAATGGTATATCGTGGGAAGCCTACTGGTATTAGCATAATAAATGTAGGTACGCATGCTTACATCCTGCTTTTAGAATGTATGTCAAGGTGAGTAACCTCGTACTTAAGTGAGGTAGACCTAAATCTTTCCTCTTTATGTCGTCATTTACCGACTGTGTCACTTTTAATTCAGCACGTTTCGCTACGCTATTGTATATATCTGTAATATAAGTATGATACAATACATGTAAGCTCACGTCTTGTAAATGTGTTTATATATCATTGTCAATCTATTACCAAGTCTTACAAAACGTGTTTCCTGATATTGATGATATGTGTACGTCATTACATGTTGCAAGATATGCGAGACCACTCAGTATTTGATTTCATACATTTGTAAAGTACAAATCAGATCATGCATAAGTCCAAAACCTACATTTCATCCCCACCAGACAGCTCAGTGAGAATATACGAATATACTACCACTATTGAGACAAGCACGGGTACGACTAAATTTAATTAATTAAAAAAATATATGTTAGGGTAAATTTACAAAATACGTCTGTTATAATGTAACACGAGTACCCGTCCAGGTCTTAATAATACTAGCCAAAAGAACATTATTTGTTTTGAATTAAAGTTGATGCCAACAAAAAAGAACTCAGTACTGTTAGTAAATTGAACATGATAGGGATTGTTTAGTCTTAATGTATAAAAGATGTGTTATCCCATTTATACGTGTTTTATTAGCCAATTTCAATCAAAGATCCTGTTCAAATATTTTGTCAAGTAGATATACAAATTTTCCGGTTGAATGAAAACGACTCGATAATATAAACATCGTTCCGGTTGAGTGGATATCAATATGCTGCAATTGCGCCTCATGCTGTTACATTTATATAAGCATAATGGAAGTTTAGCCAGGGGCAAACGTATGTATATAAAGACACTGTAATGAAAGTGTACCTTTAATTTAGAATAGAATGGATTTTATTCTGTTGGAGATAAAGAGCACTTAGTGACCTTATAGGCATCACTTGTTACTAACAGTGTACTAGATTGAGCACTTTATATACTGCTACCACACATGTAGCACTCAAAGACTAGGTGTAAAAATGCCGACACACTCGTCAGAACACATTTATACCGTCTGATATATGTTGAAGTAAACCGGTAGCTGTATTTTTAACCCTGCTAGTATTATATCCCCTTAGGGATGAACAAATAAGGGTATTTGTATTTCTGACAAAATTTGAAATGTAATATAATATCTAACTCTTATGTGCCAATGAGTATGATAAATTGAAAGTATAACAAAACTAACTAAAGAACTATAAAGGTTTACCAAAAAGTTCAACTTAATCACTAGACTGAAAAATACTTAAATATCAATAAGGCTTAAAACATTCTCAAGTTAGAAAACCCTTTTTTTTTATTTACTTTCATTGCTTTGATAAAGATCAAAAGGGTTTGCTGGTTATTTCTGCAAAATTGTAATAAATGCATGTTTTTAAATTTTAAATGTCACAGCCGTTTGTCAATTCTACAATACCTACCTACAGTAACAATATTGATGGCGTACTATTAACTTGCTTGCTGCCAACCTTGATCTGTACTGTTGTCTGTACCAGCTGTCGCCGAAGTCTTCGCCGACATATTGATTCCCTCTATTGTTTATGATATCCACGTATAACACATCGATCGCTATCCTGGCCTTGTATATGAATTGCAGCTATAGCAATACAATTTGTTTTATAGCGTCTTTTTATATTCTTAAATTACATACATTTGAATTATTAGCATACTCTGAAATTAAATTGATCCTAGCTCTGTGTTCCTAGCAGCTCTGAATAGAAATAGCTATGAAACTCATGACGTATATCATTTGATGTCTTATGCGTTTTGTTATTTTAAACAAATTTGTTATTGTTTCAGCGTTGAACAAAGATACAATAAATAACACATCAATGGAATGTCAAAAACAAATTTTTGAGGTGTTCACATATGTTTTTTCTCATTTGAGACATTATTGCAACGAGAGTACTACAGAAGGCCGACACAGATGTGTGATGAAGTGTAACACGCTTTGACATACGTATCTACAAAATGTATTGTTAAAGGTTTAATAATCTGTGTGTGAAAATAGCTGAGGTCAAGAGATGTTTTAGTAGACAATATTTGGGTTCAACTACTTAGCAATAAAACGTCAGGAAATGTTCTCCTCGTCGGGATCGTAAACACAAGTAGAATGGGATCTGTGAATCTTTGATAGTATATAAGACAATTAATACAGTTAGCCTACATCCACACCTAGTATTTAATAATATCCAGGTAAGTAATATTACAAATCACAAACATCTAGGGGTTTATTTAAAAGAACAAGGTAGCTGGACACATCATATACACTTTATTTTTGAAAAGGCATCTAAAAGAGTAAATGTCCTAAGAATGTTAAAATATAAAATTTGTAGAAAGGCACTTGAAATATTGTATACTACACTTATCAGACCTATTCTAGAGTATGCTAGTGCTATATGGGATAACTGTACAAGACAAGAAAAAAATCTCTTGAAATCTATCCAGCTTGATGTTATTAGGATAATTACTGGTCTAAGAAAAGGCACTAGCCATTGCATATTATATAAAGGAATAGGGTGGGAAAGTTTACAGAATAGGAGGGATAAATATAAACACATATTCTTCTATAAAATAACAAACAAAATAACCCCAAATTATCTACCTGAGATTATTCAACCATATGTATTAAACCCAGAAGAAAATACACACAATCTTTGGCACTCAAGAATTTGCTTCTTCCTAGAACCACGCTATATGCTAATAAGAGTTTTTCCCCCAGTTTGATGAACATATTGAACAGTGCAACTAATAACTTTACTAATAATACTAATCTTACTACTTTAAAAGGGAAATACTAAAGACAATTGTAGGGGACACAGAACAATATGTATGTACACCTGTATTTAAATACTCTGGTTCCGAAAAAGTAATATCCTAATGTGTCAATTAAGAAATGGTGCTAGTCAACTTAATTATGATCTGTTTAAAGATCACTTGAAAAATAGTCCGAACTGTCCTTGTTGTCACGCAATTGAAAACTCTTACCATTTCTTTTTTGAATGTCCTCTCTATACAGATGCACTACAAACTCTTATGCAGGATCTTATATTAAATGATGTAGATTTCCATAATGCAATATCTTTAAAAAATACTATTCTAAACGGTAACACTAGTAATAGTGATTTACAGAACAACCACTTGATGGAGTGTGTACATAAACACATTAATGCTACAGGACGGTTCAAATAGATTAAACTAGATCAAATATACAAGCTGTGTGTGGTTGATGTATTGTTTGTATTCTGTAATTTAAGTTCATTATTTCTGTTGATAGTGGATAATATATATATATATTTACATATAATATTCCAAGGTTGTTTGATCACCGGGCAACACATGTCCAGGGACTTTATGTGGTAAATGTAAATCAAAAGTTATAATTTATTTAATTATTGAAAAACTAGTAATTTATTATAAAATACCAAAATGTAATATATTTGTATCCTTTGAACTAGTGTATTTTGTTATCATATGTAATGCCCAACTGCAGATTAATTTAAAATTAAATATAAACTACATTAAATAAACCAACAAACCCATGCCAGTAGATACAAATGTGGTGTTAGAGTTTATGAGTGTGTGTTAGAGATTTTCGTGTGTTCTTATATAATTAGTTATGTTTTCTTTTTGTGTTTTCATTTTTTTCCGTTTTCTTTAAGTTCATTTTCTATTTGATTTTCCAACTCATCTCAAGACATGTCTACTTCTAATAAGTCCTGGTACATTTCTTTATCAGCATACATGCATGTATCAGTTTTGCTTTATTTCATGTTGCCGTTGCAAAATTTTAGTGGCTCAAGGTCAAACCGTATACCATATATTTAATTCGATTTGGAATACTGTGTATATCCATAACGGTACATTTAGTTCGTCTTGACATACATTTCACAACTATATTAAATATCAATATCGCAAAGTGTCTAATGTTTTTTTTTTTATTTTATTTTTATTTTTTTTATCTTAAGTCCATGTATCACATGAAATAATATAATTTTGTAGAGACATGAAAATAATAATCCAGCCTAATTATTGTATATTACCTCGCAATAAATGTACCCAAGTGTCATGAGATTAGTTGAAATATAATGTATGTATGTAAATATTGTATTCAATGTCTTCAACTATCAAAAGTGTGCTGGAAAGCCATGGAGAGAGCTTATAAAGGCAAAGCCTGTTGCTCAATCATTTTGTTAAATCAATAAAATATATTTGAAATGAAACCTAATAATCTCATATCGGTAAACCAATAAACTTGGACTGCCTAATATTGTCATACCACAGCGCGGCGTGTTTCCATCTTGCTACATGTCCCGGAAATGAGGCCCAGTACAGGGTAATCCACCTGGAGGCGCGGCAAAGGGAGTGTATGCATATATGTATGTAAGGATAATTTGTACGGTAACTTTGAATGTAAGTTTGTAAGTAAAAATGTTAAATAAGGCAGTGAAAAAATA